TAATTTTTTTTTCTACAAATAAGAAATCTTGCTTCATTTTAATAATCTGATAATTTGATGAGTTGGATTAATAAAAAATTATATAAATTTATTAATAACTATTTCAATGAAAAAATATTCTTGCTATCGATATGTGCTATCACAAAAAGTGTACACAATGTGTACACAAAAAGGAAAGTGAAACGAGATCTATGAGCTACCGAATATGATGACATGCGATTCGGATTCGGTTTAGAAAATTGATGATAGTTGATTCTTCCTTATACCTTATTCGGCATATTGTCTCTACATCTTGCAAAAAATAACTCTGTTTCTTCCGTTTAATATTTAAAATTAAATTTATTCTAAAGCTATAGAAATGACATCATGAGACGTGTTCCACAACTTGTTACAATAACAGGAACGATCTCTTCAATAATAATTTTCACTAAATTTACGGAATCTATAAAAAAGTAATACCGTTATTACTATAATAATAAGAAGACGAGTATGCAAATAATAAAGAACAGTAGTCGAGAAGACTCGTAAAATTATATGAAAAAAGGTTATGCCGAATTTGAGAATAGAGAATAGAATCCGAAAGCATTAGAAAAAATAAATTGATTTTCCCGAATTAAACTCGCGATATTATTTCCAATCTTTGAAGCAGCCATCAAGAAAAGAAATTAATAAAGTAAAGAGACGGATACGGTGATTAGATATCCCGATAAGGAAGAACACCCACCTGCGAGGCACGCCGCGTTACACTCTAGCGTAATCCAAAATTTGAGCACTGGTTATCATTGTCTTTCGTTTCGACGACATCCAGAGAAAAGAGAGATTCTTTTCGACGATGTTAACGACGAGTGAGTTCGCAGAACTGCTTGATTTTAATCCGACAATCCAGAAAAGCGCGGCGCGCAAAGTGAAACTCAAGGGACTGTGGACGCGATCGCGTAAATTTGACGGGGAAGAGAGCCGCTTGCTCTTCTTTCTCTTCTCGAAGGGAGACGGGTGAAGAAAGACGAAAAAGCGAAAGACCCGCCGCCTCGAGGCCGGCCAATCGTACTGTACAATGTTTACCTCCTCGGCCGCGCCGAATGATCACGACCGAGGCGCACACGCACGAGCGCCCGATCCGCGCTCCCCTCCGCGCCCTCCTCACCGCATCCTTTCCAGCGCCCCCTGGTCCCGCGGCCCCCTCCGCGCTATCGCCTGTTCGCCTCGCCCGCTCCATCTATCCCCGCTCCACCGTCGCCTTTCGTTCTTCGCGAACCGACAGCGGCGACCTACAATTTGGGGCGGCTGAGTGCCGCTCGGCAGCACGTGGAGGCTGTCGGCGTGGTCGGCGCAACCTGGCTCGTGCGTGCAATTCACTGTGGGCGCGCGGAGCGAGGGGAGAGGACAGCGGCGGACGACGCCGACGGTCGCAGGAGAGTACGTGGACGTGGTCGATGCGGTGCCCTCGCTACTTTCCACGTCTCATATAGATGTCGATTATTCCCCTTTCACACTCGATTACAACACTTAATACATCTTTTTATACATAAACAATTATGCAAATGTATAATTTTTTATTTGACTGCTTACTTGTGATTGTTAATTTTTCGAAATATTTTTATTTTATGATTGAATCTAGAATGAATGTTGATGATTGAATATGTCTCTATGTTTGTGTGAATTTCAAGTAATGAAAAAGTATCATATAGAGAAAGGTGACACAGGTAAAGGTCCTAAAGAGACACTTTTATTTCTTACTTCTCGAAAATTAAAAATTATTCTTTATTAATAGTGATAAGAGCAGGATCTGTTTAGGTGATTAAAAAATAAAAAATTCATATTTAATTTTTCAGATTTTCTCATTTTTTATCATATTATCTTATGAGAAAGTTAATAATTGCAAAATACAAAACAATATTATAAGAATTGCTGTATCATCTGGTAGAAGATATTTTGTATTTATGTTTCTAAAGTTTCCTATATAGCTTTTGTTTAAAAAATATATTTCAAGAATAAAGTGATGTGACAATATCAACTTTCCTCTAAACTTAATATATTACGTAATATATTACGTAAGTCAATAATTTGTTATTGCTTTATTATTACGCTATTATTGTTCCAAACAGCTTTAATTAATAGTACGCGTTTATTGTACGTAATAAAGCGTAGTTACTATATTGTTCGTATATAAACAGACAATAGCAGCTCTTATCAATGATACGTGTTGATCCATTGATTGTGTACTTACGATTTCTCACGTATCGGCAGTTTTTTATTTCAAAGAGTTTAGGCGATAAAGCTTCTTACTCTCGTTAATTAATCGATGCATTATCATTATAAACGGTAATCATGTCACTCTTGCATAAAAATAATTTTTTATTCGATTTATAATAATATGAAATATCGATCATAAATTATAAAGTAAAAATATTAGATGTTCATATATAAACTGTAAGAAATTTAGTATTTAGAATAAATTAAAAAAACAAATGGCGATTTTTTTGTATATAAAAATATATCTTTTTCCAGTTAGCTTAAAATGCTACATTAAAAATGATTCGATTTAATGAATCTTTTTTATTTAATTCGAAAAGAGTTTTTTTAATTTAATAGAAATTATACATAGTCTTTAACATGAGTTGCTATTTAAATGTAATTAAAATTACAAATACAAATGCTGTGTGCAATATCATCTTCAGAAATGCCCTTACGCGCGATACGCTATTGTCTAAAGAGTGAGAAAAGGAGAGATAAAGGAGAGAGAAAGAAACGGAATGTGAGATTGGAAGAACCAGGATGGGAAAAGGGATAAAGGATATGGTGGAAAGAGGAAACGAATGAACAAGGAAGAGCGAAGTGAAGGGTGCAAAGGACACGGTGACCTGCGGACTCTGCCTATCATCACGGATTCACTCTCACACATGCGCTTGTATTCTTGCTTCCGCACTCACAAATCTAATTCCTAGATGCTAGTGTTGTGTGAGTTAAGTATTCCAGTATGTTGTGCGTTTCTCTTATAATTTTACTAAATTCCGTGAGCCGTTTCGCCAGGATAAAGCCAATTAGCTTAACCCAATATTCCGCATATATAGCTTTTGTCAAAAAATAATATTAATCTATAGCCATATTGCTTATTAGAGTGTATATCTTGATCTCTTTTTATTATTCTGTACGTTTAAATATATAATTATTTTTTTTTTAAATAAAGGACAAAAATCTGAAAATTTCTGTATTTACATGTTTCCAAATCAGTTTGCGACTATCGGGAACATGCGCATTACGAAATTTACTTGCGTAATATATCACAAAATAAGATATTGTGGACTTTTTTGGTAATTTGAAACTGATTCGACTGTGAGTAAACCCTCGATTTAATTTTTGAATAGATTTAAAATAATGAAAAATTAAATTCTCATCTATATAGTTTTAATTTAAAAACTTTAAAATATAATTAACACAAAACAAATTGTATTTATATATATTTATAATTATATTCATATTTATAATTGTATTTATATATATATATATATATATATATATATATTATTTTATTTAGTAATTACTCATTGTTACTCATTAATATGACATCAGATACTAAAATTTTAATTAGAAGAGTATTTTACGTAAAATAAAAATAAATAAGGACAAAATAGAGTTTTGAGAAAATAAATAAACTTCCTAGATAGCTAATAATGAAGGACTGTTCTTTAGAATAAAAGATGTATAGCCATTGTATGTATAATATGTGATTTTAAATAATTTTAAATAGTTTTCTTTCAGATTATTATATTTAGCAACAAAATATATATGCGAAACATATATATAAACCAAGGAATATTATTTTCTAGTGAAATATATATTTATCAATTTTGTAATTTATTTGTAGCTTCTCCTCTTCTTCTTTTTTCGTTACATAAAAAGAAGTAAAAATTCAATTAAATCTTGCTTAATTTTTCATCTAACAAGATGAGGTCTTTAATAATTCAGTTTCAATAACAAATTGTAACACTTTCAACACGTATAAATCAATAATTTCATTACCTGTCATCATCTTTTTAATATAGTTAATTGTTAACTATATTAATTTAATATAGCAAATAGTAAAGTGTATATCATGTTTATAAATCTGAATTTAATTAAAAAAATATATCAAGCGTGGGAAAATTTTTATATACAGACAGACAGATAGATAGCTAGTTATTAAGAGAGGGATAAAGCTCAATAAGAACTTGTGACACCTCACAAGTTAAAGACTGTAGTGTAAAGGCCGTAGTGAGAGATCAATCATTGGAAAATTTGCGAGAATGAATGAACTTAGAATTGTGCCCATGGCATGGTGAACATCTTAATACAACACTGTACATTAGCACATCCTGCTCGTCATTGACGGCTGCGCGCGCGCGTGCGTACGTGCGTAACGATTGGTAGGGTCGCGTTTGTCTTTCGCTTTCACCGCGCTTTGCCTTGTTTCTCCTTCTTCGCGAGCCTCGGTATCCACGTGGTCGCTACTACAATTTATTACAGAACGATTAGAGTGGCAGAAAATGGGATAGGAAACAAGGGTAAAAAAATAAGGGGGGAAAAACTACGTCCGTGTATCGTGTCGAGAGATCGATAAAACGCAACGTTTAATCAAATCTTTTATTTTTGTTTGTAAAAAAAAAACTATCGTAAGTTTTGCTCCTTTATATTCCAATATAAACTATTCTTTGATCATTCTTTCGTATTATACGAAACACGAAACACACTTATTTTGATACACTATGCAAGAAAATTTCGTGATGCGTAGGTTTTCCGATAGTCATAAAACTTGAAAACATGTAGAAACAAAGTTCTAAAATTTTCAGATTTGTCCTTTATTTAAAGTTAACCTATCAATTTGTGAAAAATTCACGCGTTCCGAGCATGACAAGATTGGTTCAGTTTTTAAATATTGACGTAATTCTACAAACAGTGATAAGAAAATTACTTTTAGACTTTATCTTATCGGGACATTTAATTTATTAAACATAAGGATTATGTCAATATAATAATATTTTATTAATCAAATCAAGCTATTAAAAGTAATCAAATGAAATGTCATGAGTAAGATGAATGGCTACAGATGAAAAGCATCTTCATTGCTATGCAAAATGTCACAGCAGATCAACAAATGTCTTTTTTCGTGCACAGATTGATTAATTTTAAATGATTTTCATTTAAAAACTATTGTTCGCCTCGCGATATCGCATATAACAATTGTTATCTTAGAATATTCCACAAACTATTCAGAGAAAAGACATTCAGCAATTTTGAAATAAATCAGGACAATTTGTCTCTCTGCATTATTATTAAAGTTTTTTTTAAATTTTTATAGTGCTTAGTATCTCGAGGTTTTCTCATAATTTTTAAGACTCCAAGATTCTTTTTCATATTTTACTGAAAATGTCAACATTATATTATTTTTAGTTTTCCTTTTCTTTTAAAATTCATTATACATATATAATTAGAAAGTTATCATTATCGTGTATTTCATATGAGAAACTACGAAGCTACGAATGAAAAGAGACAATTATATAAGTTTACATCGTGATTCAAATATTTTTCCTGGGATTTGCAGGTAATACACGAAACGAGAATTTGATGTAATACTTCGATATAAGGAATTAAAATGGATCTCAGCAAGAAGTTGATTGTCTGAAAGCGCGCGTGACACATATCAATATTTAAGATAACATTTTGCGTTTTCATCAAACTAATTGGCCTTGAATGGACATAATCAGACACGTGGCAATTGCCGAAACGCAATTTATATATTACATTCAAAATGTAAAAGTAATTCCTTATTTAAGATATGTGTGTATATGTATGTATAATGTATGTGGTTTACCGATTTAATAAACATAGTAGTAATCATAAAAGTAAATCAATAATA